TTTTTCTGATTTTTTTTTGCGGCCACTTTACTATAGATTCACAAATAGGGCAAACCCGACATAAAATAAGAGGGTACTTGTTTTTGGATACTACACAAAAGTGATGGCGCTTAATATCGGAGGTGCTTAATTCAGAATGGGTCGGCGGTCTTGATTTATATAGTATATCGTGTACCCCAACTCATCATGTTCGTCCCCATAATAAATTTTATTTTAAAATTATATTTGTCACGCAGGGTACTAAATGAATCACAAATTTTTATGGTTGCAAATAGTACGTACGTATGTACCCTGAACGTATGTAACGTTACTGTGATGAGGTTATATTCACACATCCAATCATATTTGGAATTATTGCGGCTATTTATTCCAATCTTATTTAAGACATTAACGTTTAATCACTTTTACAATAATACAATTATACTAAGCCCAAAACGCTAATTATGGATAGTAAAAAACGGAAAGGTACTGCAACTTCAATTATCCTTAGAAACAACTAAATCATTAATACATGACTAGTTGACGTATCTAAATTTCAATTCGACGACATACTCATTCAGAAACAAAAAGAACTCGCGCCTCCATTATATGTGATGGGTGTAAGGGATCAAAAAAAAAATGTGAAGGCTGGAATCAGAATACACCCTGTAGAGCGTGTGTTCGAAAGAGAATTGAATGTATACTCCCACCTCATTGCACATCATGTCGTAGGAAGAAACTTGATAGCACTGGCATATGCCCAGAATGTAAAAATAAAGAAAGCGATTCAGAAAATATTCACAACCGTGATTATGCAACATACCAACAAATTAAAGCGTTGGAAGAGAGAGTCCGAGTGTTAGAAGTTAACCTTGAAAAATTTCAAATTTTAGAAGCTAATCTTGAAAAAATTCAAACTTTAGAAACTACTATAAACCAACTGGTTATTCAACAATTTGAGAAATCTCAAAAAGGTAAATTCATAAACCTATTTACGGAGTTATAATTGTTGCTTTAAAGTTTACATCGTTTATAATTCTAAATAGATCATAATAACGTTAATAATCTTGACGGTGAAAACGTCATGTCCGATTTATCCAAGCACTTCACTTTCGAAATCTAAAAAAAGGTCATATTTAAGAAATTTAAACAATATGTTTCTCTTTTTTTCTCTTTCAAGATCACCTAAGGTTATAAGAGGTATAAGCTTATTTGAAATTAACGATAAAAAAAAAAACAAAAATTTTATAACAATTAAGCATATTATCGAATAATAATAATAACAATAACAATAATAATAATAATAATAATAAAATCTTATCTGAAGTCAAGCTTTATTGAGTACTATAATTCGATATGTAAAGAATGACTTTCAGTACTGTCCCTATGTATAAAATAACTTTAATAATAATACCAGTGTGCGAAATTCAATGTTCTCAATATCCTCTGAGAACATTAACAAAATTTTATTAAAATATGTATTCTATCCGAGAACATTAAATATATTTTTTTAATATTGGTTTTTATATATTGAGAACATATAAAATTTTCGAGTATTAAGGACTTGAAAAATGTTCTCAGTGAGAACATAAAATCAATTTGAATTTCACACACTGTATTTTATAGAGTATAATCGTTTTAATCTTGCGTAAAAGGATACGGCCAGAAAGCAAATATATATAGAATT